GGGGCTGTAGATGCAAGGGGCCGATGGCCTGGCTTAATGAGGGTAATGGGCAGGGGGTAGTGCTTTATTGTTTTTCAAATGGAAAATATTGAAGTAGTTATAGACTCATTGTTTTTGCTTACAAAATCTGACAACCTCTCATGACAGAGACCTGCAGCTGAAATGGTGCGGGCAGTGAATAAATTTAAGGCTGACTTTGGAGGAGAAGTTGTTTCCTTAGAGCGCGTTCAACCTTCTTCAGATCATGTTCCACATAGGTTCTTTTAGATCATTGTCATCATTTTGTTATTTTCATTCATTTATTTATTTATTTATTTTATTTGGTTTGTTTCTGTTATGTTGGTGGTATTTTGAATTGGAATTGACTAGTTAGAGCCATTATTGAACACCTTGTATATAAAGTGGTTTGTTTATTTGTAAAATGTTGATTAAGTTCAAGAGTTGGGCATTCAATGGCTTCATTAGATGTGAGAACTGGTAGTGGATGTCATGCAAACAAATCTTTGTTGCAAAGGTTACTGGAGATGGTTTTCTGTCTTACTTGATAGTTGTGGCTGTTTCCTGAGAAGTAACAAGGAGAAATTTTGTGACAATAATGCCTGGAAGATGCTTGATGTGCATCTAAGTTGTAATGTCATTGCTTAAAGATATGGTGAAAACCTGTTCATCCCTGAGTGCTCTAAGCAGGCATAATATTTTGCACTCTTTTTCTGTGATGGTAAAATCAGGACATAATGGATGTTTCAATCTTATTTCAGATTCCTTCTAGACAGATGAAATCGAATTTCAATTTATCTACGCGGCCCCAACTTTTTTCACTCCTTTTTGACATCCACACGTGCTTGCAATCTTTCCTTTCCACTTTGTGTGGCCATGCTACACCAATGGGTTGTTGAGTGGGTAAGGGAGGGGGAAGGGTGATGGTTCTTGGTGTGTGAGTCAATGTAGCTGGTAAACGAAAGAAGCTGCTTTCTTTTACCAGAATTTGATTTCTCAAAATTCAGTTCAAGTTCAATTACCATCTCTTTGCAGTTATTTTTGTTGCATCTTCTGAGCGTATGTTTCGTTTAATGCCTTATCCAAAAAAAGAAGAGGAAAAAAAAAAGGTTTGGTTTGATGTGCAACTATTTACAGCCTCTCTGCCCTTCCAGGGTAGGGGTAAGATTGCGTAAATCTTACTTTCCCAGACCCCACTTGTGGGAAATCACTTGGTTTGTTGTTATTGTTATTAAAGCTACACTATTTCCCTTGCATCTCGGTGCTTTTATTTTCTTATTTCCATATTTTCTTTCTTATAGGTATCTTTTGGCGGAAGCAGGAGATACATTATTTGCTTCCTTTATTGGGACCAAGCAATATAAGTAAGTTTGCATGTCTCTTTCAGTTCTGATGGCGGGCGCCTGTGTTTTTTGTGAGATATGTTCTTTACACATCCATTTTCTTTTATGCCTTTTTTTTTTTTTTTTTTTTTTTTTTGGTTATGAAGGGATGTCATGGCTGATGTGAATATATTTCAAGGTGCCTTATTCCATGAGGATGCTGTTGAAGATATTCATGGACTTGAATCTATGGAGTCTGGTCAGGTGGACACTCAAAGGAGCAACATAGAGAATCACTCTAAACTTTTGGAATCTAAAACTAAGCCAACGAATCTGACTCCAAAACCTGCTGCACATAGGGTATTAGAACTCTCATTTGCATGTCATTATCGCGTGTTTACAAAACACACACACACATCATATATATATATATATATATATATATATTATATATGTATGTAAAATGCATACATACGTTACATATATGTTTGTATGTATGGTGTCTTCTAGTTTTCAGTTTTCGTTTTTCGCTCCTTAAATTTTGGCAGCTATTGTCCTTAGGGTTTCATGGCACGTGCTAAAGGCATACCCGCTCTGGAGCTGTACAGGCTTGCCCAGAAAAAGAAACGCAAACTAGTATTATGTGGCCATTCACTTGGTGGAGCAGTAAGTTAGAGCTTGCTTTGGCAGTGACATTTGCTCTCGTGTCATTGTACGTGTCTCAATTTTTTTTTTTGGAGAAGTTGATTTAGGTGTTGTTTTTACAGGTAGCCGTCTTAGCAACTCTTGCGATTCTGAGAGTTTTTGCTGCTTCATCGAAAGAGAATGAAAAAGTTCAGGTGAAGTGTATCACTTTTTCCCAACCACCAGTCGGAAATGCTGCATTGAGAGAGTGAGTTTGAAATTAATCTTTCTTGTTATTTGTAAAAAAACAATATATTTTCTGACTTCTAACCTGATTTTTCTCTCCAGATATGTGAATGGAAAAGGTTGGCAGCATTATTTCAAAACCTACTGCATTCCAGAAGATTTGGTGCCACGCATCTTATCTCCTGCTTATTTTCATCATTATAATGCACGGTCTCTGCCAATACCTTCTGATGGTGGAGCTTCAGTATCCACGTCAAAATCTAGTGAATTATCGCTACTGAAGCAGAAAACTGAAAAAGCAAAAGATAATGAAGGAGAGCTGCTGGTGCTGGGTGTAGGTCCAGTGCAGAATTCCTTTTGGAGGCTTTCGAGGCTTGTGCCTTTAGAGGGTGTTAGAAAGCAGTTGTATAGATACAGAGGAAAGAAAGTTGAACCTCTTGAGACATCTACTACGGATTCTGTTTCAATGCCATCAGTCAATGATATAACTAATACTCCTCAGTCTCTTGAAATTCAAGAAGGTTCTGATGGCATTTCTCTCCGACCATTACCTTCGGATGAAGACATTACTGGTGAAGATAAAATGGGTAAATCTGTAGCAGAAAGTAATACCAATAACGGGGACAAGAAGGGGTGGCGCCGCATGCCGTACTTACCCTCGTATGTACCATTTGGGCAGGTTGATATACCATCTATTTTGCTCTTTGGTGTTTTATTTTATACTGATTATTACATGCATGACTTATTATGCTTTTTCTGCGGTTTTTTTGTTTACTTCTGATACATGACTTCTATTAACTTATTATTTCTTTTTGGTTTTCCTTTCCTCATTCTTCTCTTCCCTTCTCCTAATTTGTTACTCTGTTTGTTCTATTTTATATGGTATTCTTTCCGTTTTAGTCAATTCTAAAAAGAATGACGCTTTTCTATATTTGGAAACTCTTTACTTTGAACTTCCTTTTTTATCCATGATGATGACATGCTTACTTTTGGTAGCCAAAATTCTTCTTTCTTTCTTAAACTCCAAACCCAGTCAAATATAGTTTTGTAAAGAAAAATGGATTATTACATCTCGCATTAGTTCTCTGCTCGTGGAGGTTTTAAACTTGCTGTTTGTGCTGGTTGTGGTAATTTTAGTGTTGATTCTTTACTTTCTTTTCTCTCTTTTATCTTTTGGATTGGTTGAAATCTTACATTTTCTAAGGTTAGGGAAATGTGGTAAGGTTGCATTCCATCTTGGAGTAGTGATACCATGCGTCTCCAATGATATATGCTAAATTTATTTGCATGAGGCGCTAAAAAGGTAGATGTTAAGATTTAATGATCTAAGCCCATAAAGGTGGATGTGCAGTCAGTGTTATTAAAAGTCTTTGGTTTGCCACTAATAGTGGTGAACAATGCAAAGTGAGGGCTTATTGCTCCATGGTTAAAGCACATTGCTTTAGGGAAGTGTGCGTTTCAAACAATGACGCACAAAGTGTTCCCAAAGAGAAGTGTTCGGTTCTTTGAATCTCAGTTTGTATAGTTGGATTAATATCGACGCTATTTTATTTTGGATGCTGAATTTAGTTAATTCAATTGCAATATGATTCTTATCATTCTAAACAGTATTTTTTTCATTTTTCATAAATGTGTGATTCACTTCAAAGAAGCGTGCGCTTCACTTCACGCTTTTCACTACAAGCCCACGGATCTTGTCGCTTTTTTGCTCATTTCGCTCTGGAAAACACAAACACTGTGTGCGGGGTCATACAAGATGGATATAACTAGAAATGATATGGAGGGTACTAGTAACAGTCGAGAATATACTAAGAGAAGGTGGTGCATGGTACGATTTGGCTATGATCTGTGTAGACCTCTAGTGCTCCAGTTTGTAGGTTTGTGACTTTATGGTGATTGAAGGTGCTAAAAGGGGATCAAAGAAATCTAAAATCACATATATTGTCTACTATCTCTTCGAACTAATGCTGAATTGACTAAGGTTAGTACACAGTAGAAGCAAATGATCCATGTAGGCGATACAACTAGTTAGGATTAAGCTCAGTTGTTGTTACATTTACATTAGGTTCGAGAAAGGATAAGTATGATATCTAGAATACTTCGTTCTAGTTTTAGAGAACAACAATCGACTCACCCATATTGTAATGAAATAGGCCCTAGAGATAGCAGAGTGTATGGAGGAATTCTTATTATTGACCCCCACTAGTTTGGAGTTGATATGTAGTTCTTTCTATCTCGCCATATCAGCATGGGCTGGTCTAATGCCAAGTTATTTTTTGACTTATTTACCTTATATATCTAACATTTGGTTTGTGCTAAATGTGTGATTTCAACAGCTTTTTCTCCTGGGGAATTCATCTGTGGAGTTTCTCTCTGGTGCAGAATACTCAAAATTGACATCGGTATGAGTTCTATTTACCTTTCTTTGAGTTTCAAATTTTTTATAGGTTCTTGGGGTTTAAAAAATTCAGGGGGATGTCATCTCCTCCCATCCTCCTCTTCTTGAAAAGGCAGAAAGGTTTAAAGTCTCTCAAACCAGTGGAAAGATGAGTGAAGTCAAACATTAAAGGCAGTGTATTGTCTATTTTTCCTTATCCCTCCACAAGCATGAAGCGAAAAAACCCTCTGCTTAACGTTTTTGTCTTGGGGGTCATGCTGTAAGAAGATACATCTGATGGCTTTTAGTAGTTTCTCATTTTGGTTGCTTCTTATGGCAAAGGCATTTTCAGGTCAGATCTGTACTTGCTGAAGTAAGGGAAAGGTTTCAATCGCATTCGATGAAGTCATACAGATCCCGGTTTCAAAGGTAACATGTTATATCATTTGAATTTAAAAGTTGGCTTTATGTGGTCAACTTTTATGTGGTCACATTCTGTGGGTGAATTCGTCGTCCTTGTGGGCACTCGTAAAGTTCCTTTGCATGATTTAATTTCTTTATTAAATAGTTATCGTGATTTTTCTTGATCTGGAAAATTTTCTGCAATCAATTTATAGATTTTCTCAAGTTGTTGCTTCAAAATAATGGTTGCTAAGTTAATACTTCTTATTGCTTGAATTCCGTGGTATAAGTCTCCTTTGCATTTTATAAACACAAAAAATAGTATATTAAATTTATGTTTGGTAGGAATAATGTAGTGGCTATAGTAATATCTAAATAGTACAAGGGATTAGAATATACTTTGTTTCAGATGAATATACTAGTGGTATTCCAACACCTGCAATCATGAGGTAGTTTCTCTCTCTTGGGAAACGAAAAAACCACCCAACTTCTTTGTTCAATTCTTTCCCTCCGGCAAATCCATCTGAATATTTCCTTCTAATCTCCGGCGTATTTCTTTAAATTTCTTCTCTTCTTCTTCCTGATCATACCCATAGAATTCAGCTTTCTGTTTTTTTTATCTTCCTTCCGTTTACTCGATTCCGAACAGCTTATAGCATTTTCTTGCTCACTTCTCTGTCTAACTTCTTGTGTCTTATTTATCTAACATTCTTCACCGAGTAACTTAAGCCTAGCATACGGCGACGAGAAAGGTGAAGGTGGTAGTAAATTAGGCATCATGGCAGATCTTGTTTCTTCTATGCTGAAAACAAATCTTTTGAAGCGGTGGAGTTGAGCGAAAGCTGGTATGAAGTGGTTGAAAGACGTAAAAATTTCATTAGTAGATTAACTTTCGACAGAAAGAACTTGTTAGCCCTCTGCTATGTTATGGAGCAAGCCACAGTCAAGAATGAAAAGAAGTGTAGAAGTTGGAAGAATCATAGTCAGTTGTATTCATACTTTTTCTATAAAAATTTCAACAGTTTTGGAAGATATATAAGAGTGGTGGCAACGAAAGGAAGTAGCAAGGTGGCCATAATCATCCCAGAAAACAGTAATGATGAAGGATGGTGCGATTATGCAAAGAAAATCAGATTGTTCATTCAGGCATGGGCAAAGCAGGGTATTCAACAACAGCAGCAAAGGAGCGTCAATGTTAGGAGCTATATGCAGACAGCAGAGAAAGAAAAATGGCCAAAAGATGTTATCAAGATTATAATGGATGGTTCATTGAATCAGAACCAATTCAGAATTGATGCAAACTCAATTCGTAGCAGAGTAGAATATCATAGAAAATGCGTACGGGGTTATTTTAAACAGGATGGAATGAAATTTTATTCTTGTCAGGAAATCCAGGAATGGGCCAATAAAACTTGGAAAGTTCCAGCTGTGTTCTGACCAAGGAATTGGATGGTGAATATGTGCTATTTGAGTTCCCATCTCGGAGTGAAGCAGAGAGAGTCAAATGGGGAAATGGCTGTTTGATGGAAAGGAGTTGAGGTTGGAGAGGTGGTCCTGTGTTTCTACCTGGCATAGGAAGAATTGCAAACCCAAACATGTTTGGATCAAGCTTATGGCTTTTCCATCACATTTGTGGTTAATATCTTTAAAGCAATTGGTGACAGATTTGGAGGTTTCCAGGGTATAAACGAAGATACCAGATATAGAAAACATCTGATATGGGCTCGAATATGCGTTAGAATTCCAAATGATATACCTCCAACAAGTTTGGAGTTCTTTGTGGACGATTTGCTTTTCACAATCCCTGTCTGGGTGGAATCTTCACCGGGGGTTGACGAAGCTGACCGGAATTTGGTAAAGAGTTGCCGGAAAATTCCCCAGAAGTCAAACAGTCCCGGATCTGAGCAATTAATGACGTCGTGCTTTCCCAGTGAAGGGAGCACATCACATCAGGTCGGGTTACGCATGACTTTCACATGCTAGACAAAGGAGAGAAAGGAGTTATGCATAATATAAATGTCAATCTTATTCAAAGCCACGTGGCGGGGAAAGGGAAAGAAGTGGGTGCTGGTCCATCACTGATAGGGGAGCCTAATATAGGGAACCCTAATAATTATTATGTTGGGCCAAGTCACTTTAAAAGAGCAGAAAAAAGAATAGGCCCAAATTAGAAAAGAGTTGTTAATTCGAATGGGCCAATAAAAAGAGAAAATAAGAGGAAAACTATTTACAGGCCCAAATGGGTCGATCCATGTATTAATATTCAGAATTCCTTCAGCCTATTGGATTCGGAAAGCCTTTCTGATCTCGATCCTCTTAGAGTTGAGGTGGAATCAAATCAGACGAAAGAAAACACTTCGTTAAGACCAATGAGAAATTTGAACAAAGACCATGAAGAAGAAACTGGTGTTTTGAGCAATTTGAAGATTGTTTGCGATAGGGAAGAAGACACTTGATTGACTCGGAGCATGTAGAAGAGTCAAACATGGGAAATGACGAAAGCGAAGATTGGACGCTGGTTCTTTTTTCAAAAAGTGAAAATGAGATTGCGTCTCCTATCCCTGTGGAGACGATTGCGATTGTCGAAGCCCTGGACTTTGAAGTTACCATGGTATGAGAATAGGACAGTCGATATGCAAGAGCGATTGAATCAGATGGAGGTATCAAACTGGCTGAAGAGGCATATGATGAACATTAGCAAGCAATTGGGGATAAAATGTGTTGAAGAGGAGGATAAGTTGTTTGATTTGTTGTCACACATTGAGAATAGAAGACCAAAGAAACTTTCTCCCCCGTCTGCTAATAGTACTACACCTAGTAAGAGGGGCGAAAGGGAATTAAAAGCTCTGGTAGCTTTCAGGGTTGGATTTAAAAGGGAATCCAGTAATGGAGGAAGAAACAAGGATAAGAGGGTTTCAACAGACACTCAATGAAGTTAAAAATCATATGTTGGAATGTAAGATGTTTAAATCACAACAAGAAAAGGAGATGGTGAAACTTTTACTATGAAAGTGGAATGCCGACATAGTATGCTTAACAGAGACAAAATTGAAAGGGGTGGATCCCTCTTGTGTTTAGCAGGTTGGGGGTCAAGATGGTCAGACTGGATTGAGATTGAAGCACAAGGAAGCAGTGGAGGAATCCTGATATTCTGGGATAAGAGAAGATGACAATGCATAGATAAATTAATAGGGCAATACTCTAGTACTATTATGCTGGAAGAGGGAAAGTCGGGTCTACAATATGCTTTCACAGTAGTGTATGGACCATGTAACAGAAAAGAGAGGAAAAGGTTATGGAAAGAACGGGCAGCTGTAGGTGGAATTATAGAGCAACCATGGGCTATCGGGGGTGGCTTTAATGTTATCAGATTTGAAGAAGAAAAAACAGGTAGAGCCAGGAATACAAGAGCAATGAGAGATTTCTCAAAATTCATTGTTGACTTATCTTTGATAGATCCTCCTTTACATGGTGGCTCTTACACTTGGTTCAGAGGTTTTATTGAGCAGACTGCATCTAGGATAGATAGATTTCTATTATCACAGGGATGGGATGAACACTTCAGGGCTATCAAGCAAAGAGTCCTACCTAGAACTACATCTGATCACTGCCCCATTTTACTGGAATGTGAAAATTGGGATAAAGGAAAATGATACTTTAAGTTTGAGAATATGTGGTTTGAACACAAGGATTTCTCTGATTTAATAGATTCTTGGTGGAAGTCATATGATGTTCAAGGAGATCCTGATGTCATTCTTGCAAAAAAACTGAGCTTGTTGAAGGCAGATATTAAAAAATGGAATAAAGAAGTATTTGGTTGTATGGAAACAAAGAAGAATAAGGTTTTAGAAAGGTTGGAACAAATAGATCATGGGTTAAGAGAAAATCAAAATCAGGAGCAATTAGAAAATGAAAGAAATGCTGCATTAATGGGAGCTTGAAGAAGTAGCAAAATGTGAGGAAATAAGCTGGAGGCAGAAGTCTAGATGCTTACGGATTGAGCATTGTGACAGAAACACAAAATTTTTCCATAAGCAAGCAAATGCTCACAAGAGGTTCAATTCTATAGACAAGTTAATGATTGAAGGAGAATTTGTGGAAGATAATAAGATCATAAAGGAGCACATCCAGGAATTTTATGAAAATCTATTTACTGAGAAAGAAACTTGGAGACTTAGTTGGGAAGATGAAGATTTAAAGAAGCTGTCAGAGGAAGATAGGGAGTGGCTGGAGAGGCCTTTTACTTTAGAAGAAGTTGAATCAGTACAAAGCCCCAGGTCCAGATGGTTTTAATCTGTATTTTTTTCAAAAATGCTGGAGAACCATAAAAGAGGATGTTTGGAATGCTGTGACTGACTTCCATCAAAAAGGTACTTTCATTAGTAGTTTGAACTCTGCTTTTATAGCCTTGATACCAAAGAGGAAAGGAGGAGTAGAAGTGAAGGATTTGAGGCCTATTAGTTTATTAGGCAGTGTTTATAAGATTTTTTGCTAAGTTGTTGGCTGAAAGGTTGAAGATGGTCATTGACAAATTGATATCTCACAATCAGAATGCCTTTATAAAAGGTAGACAAATAGTAGATGCTGCCCTGATTGCAAATGAGATGCAAATGAGAGCATGGAACACTTTATGAAAATAAAGACAAGAGTGTAGCCTGTAAACTTGACCTTGAGAAGGCATATGATCATGTTAACTGGTCATGCCTGATCAACGTCATGAAGGTGATGAACTTTGGGGTAAATGGCTTGAACGGATCAGATTCTGTATTCTACTGTCAGATTCTAAGTTCTCATTAATGGAAGCCCTTATGGCTACTTCAAATTCCAAAGAGGACTAAGACAAGGTGACCCCCTATCACCTTATTTATTTGTTTTGGTAATGGAGATGCTGAGTAATATGCTGAAGAAGTCTGAACTGCTGGGTTGGATCAAAGGACTTAATGTTGGAAGAAGGAATGGTGCAAATGTATGCTATCTCACATACTATATGCTGATGACACTTTGCTATTTTGTGAGGCAGAAAAGGAACATTTTCTATATCTCAGAGGAATCTTATTGGCTTTTGAAGCAGTCTCTGGGCTGAAAGTCAATCTGGGGAAGAGCGGTATTCTCCTTTTAATGATTTCAGATAACATAAACTAGGAAAAGTTATGCAATATTAGATAATGAGTTTATTGCAAGGATATCTTTGAATATCAAGAAAGTCTAATCAATTGGAGTGGAAAATGCCACTTTTATATCTTTTCCAACTGTCTTTCTTAGTTGAGGGCGCTGATGAAACAAAAATGTTTTAATACCATATGTGCAAACTTTGTGGTAGATATACTCTTCTTGTTAAACTCTATGTTTTTAAGATGTTGAAGTAACTTTCTTCGGATACCCGTTCGTCCCTTCTTTTCCAAAACCTTATAGAAATATGTTGTGGTTGGATGTATCTTTTTTTTTTCTTTGTTGTTCTATATTTTTGTATTTATATCTATTTATTTATTTTTCTTTCTAATTAACTTAGTGCAATATGATTTTTGATGGTTACCCCATTTAATTTTTATTTACAGAATCTATGAACTTTGCATGAGCGATGACACAATACCTTTCTTGGGGATTGAACAAATGCAGCAATTCCCACAGTTACAGAAATGGTTAGGCATTTCCGTTGGTGGGACTGTTGATCTAGGGCACATTGTGGAGTCCCCTGTCATCCGTACTGCCACTTCACTTGTTCCACTCGGATGGAGTGGTATTCCTTGTGGGAAGAATACAGATCCTTTGAAAGTTGACATATCTGGTTTTGGGTTACATCTGTGTACACTTGTTGAAGCTCGAGTAAATGGGCGCTGGTATTCCCTTTATCCCCCTATAAATCCATGATTACCGTCATTTTTGTAAAACTTATTTTGTCCATTTTATTATACTGATTTCCTTCTATAGCTTTTATCTGATTGTTGATTTTTGTAGAATTAACTTTTTATTTTGTGAAGTAGCTTTTTACCTTTCAATGGATCTTGACACTTGAAGCTGAATCCTCTTGGATTAACATATGTTTTTCCATTTATGCTTGTGTTCTGGAGCTCTGTGCAAATGTTTTAAGTGGCTTGTTTTCCCAGCCTTTTGGATCAATTCTCCATATGGAGCGATTTATGTGTCTTCTATGAAAAGTTTTTGAGTATAAACAATGTTTAAAGGCAGAGGTGCAGGGCGGGGTATACATAGGCTGGCAGGACGCTTGCTCTAAGCCATGGGATGTATGTCCTATGATTTTTGTATTATTAAGAATTAAGATAGACATAAATGAGAATATATTCAACTATGAAACATTACAGAATACACATTAAAATTGTGTAAAATTTAAAAGCATTAAAAATTTAAGTTGACTCTCTAGGCAAATAATATATGTATGCAATGATCTTCGAAGTATCAAATTCTTAATTGTAGAACAACCTAGTATTATATAGTTATTATGAAATATTTAAAAGAAAATGTTCTGTAGCGTATAGGGGCATAAAGTGTTACATGTGGTCAGCCCTAGCAGTAAAGCATGCATTGGGCAGGCATTACACCTATTGAGGCATTAGTTGCATGAGGCTTAAGCCCTATGATCGGTTTGGGGCGTTTGTAGGATTCCTTGCCCATGCATAAGTCCTGTGGCAAGTTTCAACTTTTATTTTTAAAGCATTGTTTAAAGGTGAAAATCCAACGTTGTATAGTTTCTTGTCCAAGATTCCTACATGAAAAGGATACTTGTAGTATCTTCATGATGAGTTTTATTCTAGAGAATTTGATTTTTGTAGGTTAGTTTTCTTTTGGGAAACTGAAAAATGCATCAGTTTAATACAATAACATAGGTCATCATGGGTTCTATCAGAGAGGGCATTCATGTGTGATGTCATATCTTGTTATGTGTAAGAGCTGGGTAGAAGTTTCCTTTGCCAAGAGTCAAAATATGTCTTTACTTCTTGAATATGAAATGTAGTAGGACATTTTTTCTTTGTCATTCCTGCCCCGTAATTGTTATTAAAACTTGTTCTCTGCAATCGGACTTTATGCCGAAGTGTTTATCATGTTTCTGCTCCTTCAGTTGATTGAATGATTGTTGGAAATGTGACTTTATCCATTGATCAGCTTGGTAGACCGTTGGCTCCTACAAGGTCAGTCTTGATTGCCAATAAAAAAGGATCCAAAGTAAATGGAGGTTCCAATAAGTAGTTATTTATATTCTTTAGGAGTTCTCTGTTTGATCCTGCTCCTGAATCAGTCAGTTTCTTCTGGCCTTCCCCAACGATGTGTTTAATGGATATTATAAGTTGTGATTACCAGAGAAGTTAGTAAGTTATATTGGTAATAAGAATTGCTTACCTGATGAATGCCTTTAACATTGAGAAGATACATTATATGTGTGTTTCAGTGAGATTATATTTATATTTAAACTTTAAATTTAGGTGTTCAACCTCCGTGGAGTCTTTTCCTTCACCCCCAGCTCACTCACCAGATCATGGAGAACAACCAGAGGTTCAAAATATGCGAGTACTAGTTGGAGCTCCATTGAGACGACCCCCTAAGCACCACATGGTGGAGGATATACCTATGTTTTCTTCGATTGATTCATCCTACGTTGATACGAAATTGAAGCAAAACGTGTCCAAGGTAGAAGAGGGGAATTTCATACTCCCAGATGGTTTAGATGATTTCGTCATATACTGTACAACTGATTTTTCTACCGTCTGGAAAGAGGTTAATCTGAGAACCCGTAGGGTTAGGTTAATTGGTCTTGAGGTATGGTTGGTTTTAAATTAGACTTGAGACAGATGAAGTTTTAGATATCTCTGTAGTTAATACTTGTGAATTATGTAGGGATCCGGTAAAACCTCTCTTTTAAAGGCAATTCTGGATCGAGGCCGAAGTGTTTGCACTGAGAGTACTGAAAATCTACATGCAGACAATGATGTTCAAGAGGGAATTGCCTGTGGCTTGTGCTATTCTGATTCAGCTGGAGTTAATCTGCAGGTTCCTTTAACTCGTCTGCTCCATCTCTCTTTTCTGGGTGGTGCTTTAAATATGGAAGACTCATATACCTTCCTAATGTTGTGTTGCTAATTGTTTTTTTTAAGATCCCGTCATCAGCTTTTTACCCGATTGGGATGTGACTCACTTCCTCCGTCCCAAAAAAGGTGACCCATTTCCTTAAGTGGCAAGTTTTTCTCTCTCCAAAAATCCAAAAGCAATTACAACTATTTTTTTTTTTTGAATTTGATGGGACATCTTTCAAAATTACTTCACTATCTTTACATTTCTAAATGTATTTTTAAACTTTTCTCTACCGAACTTACTGAATAAATTTATTCTACCATTTTACTCTTGATCAGTGTGCATGTTAAAGTAGGTTACATATCTGAGGAAGTAATTTTGCTGTCAATTCTTCGGAACTGTGAACTCTGTCTAGAGGAACAGATTCGTGCACAAAAGTTAACCCTGATCAATGAAATATCTGGACAAACTGTTTAGAAAAATATAGTGAACCTTTGGCCCCAATAGCTTTATTGTAGTGGTAAGAGCGCAACTCTTACACGCACATCACAGGTTCGAAAGCTGGCCCATACAAAAGCCTAGTATTTAAGTGGAAAAGGATAGAGGGGCGGCACATTATTTACCTAGTTTCGAACGGTGCGCAAGCCGACCTTCAGGGATTTCTTGGTTACCGAAAAACAAAACAACAGTAATAATAAACCTTTGAGAAAAGAGAGGAAAATCTTAGTCCTTGTTAAAAAAGTATGGAAAATCTTAGTTTATGAGAAGTGTTAGTGTAACTTTGAGTTGAGTTCTTTTTTAGGAGAAACATGTCTCTCTCAATCTATTTATGTATGCTCAACGTTCCTGTCATATGAAACTTCGATTTTGCATTTTTTTCCCTCGCTTGCAAGTTATATCTTGGATGCCATTTTACTGGATAAACATACATGGTGAAACAGAAGACAACATACATCTTCCCATATTCAAAGCAAGCATCTTATTGCAGCAAGGTTTTAGAGAAGGGAGAAGAGAGCAATCTTTCTTTAGATATTTTGGCTGAATTTTCTTAGAAACAGTCTTAAATGGAAGTTCGTTAAGAACTGCTTAAAATTGTCACTTCTCACTTTGTGTTTCTCCATGGATGGTCATGTACTCATTTGGTCGCTTTATTTATCATTGCTTGGATTTATTTGGTTTTTCTTAAATGCTCAAAATTTTGACCCTCTATTTTGTTTTATAGAATCTGAACATGGAGGCAACACATTTTAGGGATGAACTGTGGAAAGGAATTCGCGATCTCAGTAAGAAAACCGATTTGGTTATACTTGTGCATAATCTATCTCATAGAATTCCTCGCTACAACGACTCAAATGCTTCACAACCACAACCTGCCATATCCCTTCTCCTAAATGAGGCAAAATCTCTTGGAATACCTTGGGTACTTGCCATAACAAACAAGTTTTCTGTCAGTGCACACCAGCAAAAGGCAGCTATTAATGCTGCTCTGAAGGCATATCAAGCATCTCCTAGCACAACTGAGGTTATCAACTCATGTCCTTATGTTATGCCCAGTGCCGCAGGTGCTCCTCAATCTTGGTATACAGAAGGGAAAGATCGCGAGGGAATGAATGGTGCCCAAAAGTNACACACACACCCCACCCCCTTGTTCATGACACAAATGTGGTGGTTTTGTTGTCTCTAGGAGTTTGCCAGAGATAGGCTTTTTGTGGAATTGGCTCGAGAGAGAGCAGTTGCTGCAGGTGCAATTCAAGATTCTCAGGCAAAGGCTAATTCTCTGAATGCTGCCGCTGTTGGTGCCTCACTTGGTGCTGGTTTGGGCCTTGTATTGGCTGTTGTCATGGGTGCAGCGTCTGCTTTGAGGAAGCCATAAATTCTTTACCTTAGTCGGTGTTGTATATACAGGCATTTTTTCAATTTTATGACTGTACAAAATATATATATCACACGTTGGTTTAAGTAGATTCTTTGTGTATATTTCTTGGGCCTCTCTATGGTTGTCTGTCAGCAGAGAATGAAGATTTAAATTTGGATTAGTGAGACGATATCCTTGTAATTTTGTGGGACTCTGGTTTGCTAGAACTCCGATAGCCAGTTATGTACTTATTTGATTGTCCATCAGCGTAAGAAGCCAGATGCATTAGCCTCGATATTCAAAATCTTCACTGGTAATTGTACGCAACAAGTGAACAACATCGGATCCGTCCACAACCAACCTGGTCCAACACAGTAAGGGGTCGTTTGGTGGTAGGATGTATTAGGAAAAATAATATATGTATTAGGTTTGGTATTATTAGTTCATTGTTTGCTAGTGTTTTTCAACCTATGTATAACTAATAAGCAAATTACTAGTTATGTCAGCTGATACGTTAGTACAAAAATTAGTCAATTCATAAAATATTATCAATATTAGCCAATTAGTTATTTGTAGCCAAAAAAATGTTAAATTTTTACTTTCTTTTGAGTGAGTATTGTTGGAATAGATTGGATACATCTTAAGAAGTTTAAATCTCAGTTTTGGGATGATTTGGTAGAGTTTTGTGGTGGTTTGAATTAAAAATTTGAAGTAGAAGATGAACATGGAAAAAGATGATATGTGTATCATATTGTGTATAATTTATATATCACATATGTATTGCATTTGTATCACATGTATATCCATGTATACTTGTGTGTGAGATATATGCGTGGTATATGTTTGATGCATGTGTTACAGAAGAACTTTTTGAAATCGATTATAACTTCGAATTTTGATACCAAATTAGTCCAAATCACCTCCAATCTTCCTCAAATTTTGTATATTGACTCATCTATGAGTTTTCAATGAATATTCAACTATGCCCATTGAAAAATGTCTCTTTTTTGCTTAGATTTTTGGAATCTTATATTTTTTTTATTTTATATATTTCATCACCTTGTTTGCTACCCCATCCATGAATTTTTCTTTCCGTTTTGCATCTAATGTTGTTGATCATGCTTAAAAATATGGAAGGAGATCTTTGCGTATGATTCTTAGAGAGAAAGAATTCTTATTTCTTTGGGTTTTTAATTTTTGTATGTGCTTGACTAGTTTTGGTAAGTGTATGGTTAATGGCTAGAGGTTGATAAGTTAGGACTTATTTGCGACATTTCCGTAAGATTCCCTAACTAATGCATGTATTAGTTATATTCCATATTCAATACTATTCTTATACACAACAAACTATGGCATTAGTAATGCCATAGTTTTTGATAGAGCATGTTTAAAAATAGAATTTCCCTTTCAAAATGTTTTCCAAACCATCGGAGTGTATTTTGTAAATAAATAATTTTTAAAACAATTATGCAATGTATGTTATTTTTTAATACACCAAACCAAAAAATCGATAAGAAATAATCACAACATAATTAACACCAACATAACTAATTTCAGAATTACTAATGCAACATTACTAATACATCATATTTAGTATCATTCCTATATACCCTACCAAACGACATCAATAGGTCTGCCTGGAATCGCTCCCTCAGCCAATGGGCCTGAGTTGGCTAGCCCCTTAGAAGGGGTGAAATTCAAAAAAAGCCAGATTTACAACTGATCGTTCAAAAATAACCCAGTTTCAAAAGTAATCGAAATTTAGCTACTTTTCATGTAAAGATAAATTTGAGCGAAAACACTATTTAAAACCCGAAAAATACGCCAGTATATTATGCTGGAGTTCCAGCATAAGTATACTTGAACTCCAGCATATTATACTAGAGTTCCAAGATAAGTATGCTGGAACTCCAGCATAATATGATGGAGTTCCAACATAAGTACACTAGAATTCCAGCATAATATACTGGAGTTCCAACAAGTATACCGGTCCAGCATAATATACTGGAGTTTGGAGCACCGGTGCTCCAGTTTCAAGTATATTATACTGGAGCCATCAAAGTATACCGGTCTAGCATAATATGCTGGAGTTCATACACAGGTGCACCGAACTCCAGTATATTATGCTGGACCGGTCTTTGGTGCAGCAAAATAGTGGCTATTTTTCATTGACTTGGTAAACACTGACTATTTTTGAATGACCAATCCGAAAACTGACTATATCGTGCTATTTTTACTAATTGGCTTCCTCTTGCTCGGCCCTTTCTTCGGTGGAGAGTTGCACAAATAGGTTGATTATGATTTATACGCCACTGTTTGAATTTTGAACGTTATTTAAATTAGTTTGGCACATTTAGTTATCTGTGTAGAAATTTCACCATGTTTTTGCTTCAAAATTGATACAAATTGCTCCACATAAACTTCAAATCACTCCAGGTTTGGTATTCAAACTTCTAATACCATTCCCAGTAATTCTCAATAGTTAGATTCAGGCCAAACTTTCAAAAATCACTAACCCACTTTGTCTTCTTGGACATCAAACTCAACAAACCCCAGTATATCTCATTCTTTTTAATTTTAGTTGTGTGATCATAGATTTTTCAGGAGGAAGGAGGAGGAGGAAAAGGGAGTGGTCATTTAGTTTTGTATTCATTACTCAAAAATTATTATATATTTTTCTACGTAAAAATCAATCAATTTTATATTTATTACCCAAAAGTTACTGTTCTTTCTTTTATTACACAAAAATTATTTTACTTTGCCATAGTTATCATCAATCACCTTGGCCAGATTTTATAATACTTTTACTTGAAAAGTCTATTATGCACTTGACTTATAAATCCTTTCATTTATGTAATACATTATATAATATATTATATACTATATAATTTTACCTAGATATTTACTTAAAAATATTTTATTTATTATTTGTATAATATATCCGTACATTTAATTTTTTCATAGCACCCAGTTTGTTTAATCATATCCAAACATGAACATATCTTAAAATATAAATATGACAACAAAATACTTATTTTTAAAAATTTATTTTAAATAATAAAAACAAATTTACTTATATTTATGAAATTTTAAAAATAGGACCAAAAGTTAAATGAGTGTCAAGTGGGAGGACACCCAGTAAAATGAGGTGCACCCCTCTCCTCAAGTAGACTTGACGGGGGAAGTGCACGGTTAGCCACTAATAACACATGTATTTACTTTTAAGTCACTGTTTAAAATGTCTTTTAGTCTTTAGCCACTGCTTTAATAAACTTTAACTGCTCGGACGAAAATACCCTTCTGCTCATGTCCTTAACTTTTGACCTTAACTTCAGGACTACATGTCCTTAACTTTTGAACTTGGAACTCGAAGTTCAGGACTTCAGGACTACATGTCCTTAACTTTTGAACTTGGAACTCTAAGTTCAGGACTACATGTCCTTAACTTTTGAACTTGTAACTGTAAGTTCAGGACCAAGTGTCCTTAACTTTTGAGTTTGTTAGTCTAAGTTCAAGACCTATTGTCCTTAAACTTTTGGGCTTCTTAGCCTAAGTTTAGGACTTATTGTCCTTCACTTTTGAGCTTGTTAGTCTAATTTCAGTACTACATGACCTATTGTCCTTAACTTTTGAGCTTGTTAGTCTAAGTTCAGGACTTATTGTCCTTAACTTTTGGGCTTCTTAGCCTAAGTTCAGGACCTATTGTCCTTAACTTTTGAGCATGTTAGTCTAAGTTCAGGACTTCAGGACCTATTGTCCTTAACTTTTGAACTTGTAACTGTAAGATCAGGACCTATTGTCATTAACTTTTGAGCTTGTTAGTCTAAGTTCAGGACCGAGTGTCCTTAACTTTTGAACTTGTAATTCTAAGTTCAGGACCAAGTGTCCTTAACTTTTGAACTTGGAACTCGAAGTTTAGGAGCAAGTGTCCTTAACTTTTGAACTTGTAATTCTAAGTTCAGGACCAAGTGTCCTTAACTTTTGAACTTGGAACTCGAAGTTTAGGAGCAAGTGTCCTTAACTTTTGAACTTGTAATTGTAAGTTCAGGATCCATAACGTAGCAGAAAACCAAACGTTATTTGTATCTTTTCACAAAAATAAAAAAAATAATAATTGCAATTTACATATAAGATTGATGTCAAATTACACAACATAAAGCTAATAACAAAAAGAAACAACTAAAAACATAAAAGACTACATAACCTAACCAACCAAAAGAAAAAAAAAATAAATAAAATTGGAGAAGTGGTCTGCAACGCCGAAAAAGTGGTCTGCCTTTGGGTTTAGGAAGTGGGATGGAGTTGGGGAAGAGAAGTAACGAGTTTGGTAAATTTTGTTCAGGAGAAAGGGTTTTGAAATTTTGATAGAGGGTTTGGGAAGGAAAAGAGATAGAAGAAAGGGGAACTTCGTCTTTTCATATTAATTTTAATAGAGTAGTGACTACTTTTGCTCATCATTAAAAATGCTGAATAAAAAGTAAATACCATTTTAAAAATGGCGACCCCATACCATTTCTACTAGACTTGACCTCACTCAACCCAAACAAAGAAGATTTATAGGCCAAGCTTATTAAATTAACTTACTGTGTTTAACTAATTTATTTAAAAAATACTTTTAATATTAATTAATGTTTGACTAAGTTTTTAAAAGTTCTTTTAAATATATTTTTCAAAAGTATTTTTTTAAAAATTAATTTTGGAAATAAGTTATTTTTTTTCCTCTCAAAAAGTGCTTCTGCTTTTATTAAACAAATATTTTTTTTCTTTTAAAACATGGCCAAACACCTTACTTTTGAAAATAGCACTTTTGGCCTATTGTAGGTGAACGTTAACTTCAAAGCTGGAAGTAAAGGCTTTACCTTTTATATTTTTTAATTAAATTAAAGGTAATTAGTATGTAAGGCTGGGCTATGCGTATGTTATACCGCTTTGCGAGAATTTAAGTTAAAAAAGTGATTTTCATCTGTGGGCCAAGAGTTTTCATCTGTGAGAGAATCAATTGCTCTATTATTTCGATTATTATATGGTTTGGAGCCTCTAGATATGAATGAATATCACCTCTTAGATCGCGCAAATTCATTTTTGAAAGATGGCATCTCAAAATTAATTTTTGCGAATCCACAAGGCCTCGAACGGATACTAAACTTCGAGATACGCCGTGTCCACCCATAACCGTGCCCAACTATCACGCCTCCACGTAATCGTAAGCGGCGAGATACGCGCCTGACACATATAACGGCTAGCTGTAATACTAGAGGATGTTTACACTTGAACCCTAGTATATTCCTCCTACAC